AGATAGATAGATAGATAGATAGATAGATAGATAGATAGATAGATAGAAAGATAGATAGCCACATGGTGTATTTGCTGTGTATTTGCATATGAAGTGTAATTTGTAAAACTCACTGGATCAGATGTTCAGCACGACCTGTTCATCTGAAAGGTTAAACCCAAACTTGTTTCCCGTCACCTTGAACACATTGACCTTCTGCTTCCTCCTGAGCTGACAGAGAGCGGGTGAGGTGTCAATCATGGGAGGTGAAGTGCATCTCCTATATATATATTTTTTTTTTGTACCTTCTGGCACACTGGCACCTGGTTGCACAGGATGGAGGCTTAATGTGTGTGTGTGTTGTTTTTGCGGTGCGGTGGGCATCTTTGGCTGCACTGTTACATCAGCGATACGCACCGCTGGCCGGCCTTGTCAATAGGATAAGACAGTGGTAGTAAAACAAAGTAAACAGAGTCTCATGACAGCGGCGGTGTGATTTACAAACAGGATTTCTCCTCCCTTTGCTGCCCATTCTTTGACAGGCACAGGAAAGCGACTCTGCTCTGCCTGATAAGAAGCCAAACTCAAAGAAAACCTTCAAACTGGATGCTGTTTCGTTTGCTTTATAGGAACTGCTGTCCTGTCCCGTCTCCCTGAGAAGCAGGAAGACCTCATGGACAGAGCTGCATGACATTTTGTCACCCTTTAGCTGACAATGGGGGCAATTAGTGTTGCACTTTTCCCCTTTTCACATCATTTATGACTGTTTCTAAATATGTTCTCACTTGTTCTGCATAAACACTCAATAGCATCTTGTGGGAGAAATAAGCACGAAGAAAGCAGCGCTATAGTGATGTGAGAGGAGACAAGGAAGTTAAATAAAAACTATATATATTGTGTTTTGTGGACAAATGTCCTCCCCTGTCTGTGTGTTTTTCTGTGTTCATGCTGTGCTCACTGGTGACTTGTTTGAGCGTGCTCTATTGTAACTCAAGTGCAGGAGATGACATTTACAGACAAATCTACAGCACAGTACATTCTGAACGCTGATAAACACCCTCCGTCTCTCCCACCCATGTCCTCCTCCTCGTTCCTCCCCCCCCCCCCCCCCCCACAGTCTCTTTTTACAATGCTTTGTCATCTACCACATAACGTCCACCCTCACACCTCTCCTCTTCCTTCCCTCCCCCTGCTGCAGCCTCTGCCACCTCTCCATCCATGCCTCCGTCTCCTTCCCTCCCTCACACTGTCTCCCACCTCTTCTGCTCAGGTCAGCCTGTTGGCTACTTGATGGACTTGTGAACGGAGATTCTCTTTATGACCATCTTTCAACTGGCCTCT